TAAGTTTAGGTAATTATAACGGTTAGGTTTCGTTAGGAGGTAACGAGACAAGTAAGAGTTATAGTTATTATATACTATATTATATTTATTGTGTGTGTATATATATATATATATATATATATATATACACACACACACACACATATATATAGGTTCTTTTCCATTATAGGTTATTACAAAATATTGAGTATAGTTCCCTGTGCTATACAGTAAGTCTTTGTTGTTTATCTATTTTACATACAGTACTGTGTATCTGTTAATTCCAAATTCCTAATTTATCCCTCCCTCCTACTTTCTTCTTTGATAACCATGTTTGTGTTCTATGTCTGTGAGTCTATTTCTGTTTCGTAAATAAGTTCATTTGTATCTTTTTTTTTAGAGATTCCGCATATAGGTGATATCATATGATATTTTTCTCTGTCTGGCTTTACTTAGTATGATAATCTCTAGGTCCATCCATTTTGCTGCAAATGGCATTATTTCATTCTTTTTAATGGCTGAGTAATATTCCATTGTTATATATACCACATCTTCTTATCCATTCATCTGTCAATGGACATTTAGGTTGTTTCTATGTCTTAGCTATTGCAAATAGTGCTGCTATGAACACTGGGGTTCGAATGCATGTATCTTCAAATTTACAGCTTTCATCTTTTCTAGATACATGCCCAGGAGTGGGATTGCTGGATCATAGGATAAGTCTATTTTCAGGGTTTTTTTAAAGGAATCTCTATACTGTTTTCCATAATGGCTGCACCAAACTACATTCCCACCAACAGTATAGGAGGGTTCCCTTTTCTCACACTCTCCCCAGCATTTATTGTTTGTGGACTTTTTAATGATGGCTGTGCTGACCAGCATGAGGTGATACCTACCTCATTATAGTTTTGATTTGCGTTTGTCTCATGATTAGCAATATTGAGAGTTTTTTTGTGTGTCTTTTGGCCATTTGTATCTCTTCATTGGAAAAATGCTTGTTTAGGTTTTCTGCCTATTTTTTGATTGGGCTGTTTGTTTTCTGATATTGAGCTGTATAAACTATTTGTATATTTTGGAAATTAATCCTTTGTCAGTCACATCATTTGCAAATAATTTCTCCCATTCTGTATGTTGTCTTTTCGTTTGTTTATATGCAAAAGCTTTCAAGTTTAATTAGGCCCCATTTATGTATTTTTGCTTTTGTTTCCATTACTCTAGGAGACAGACCCAAAATATTGCTGTGATTTATATCAAAGAGTGCTCTGCTTATGGTTTTCTCTAGGAGTTTAATAGTACCTATTCTTACATTTAGGTCTTTAATCCATTTTGAGTTTATTTTTGTAGGTATATGGTGTTAGAGAATGTTCTGACTTCATTCTTTCACATGTAGCTATTCAACTTTCCCAGCACCACTTACTGAAGAGACTGCCTCTTCTCCACTGTATACTGTTCCTTATAGGCTGAGGAGCACTTCATTGTGTGTATACACCACCTTTTCTTTATCCTTTCACTGGTCCACAGACTGATGTTGTTTCCATATCTTGACTATTGTGAATAATGCTGCAGTGAACATGGGATACAGACCTCTTTGAGATAGTGATTTTGTTTCTTTTTTATATATATGTGAAGGTAGGATTGCTGGGTCATATGACAGTTCTACTTTTAATTTCCTGGGGAACCTCCATACTGTTATCCTCAGTGGCTTTACTATTTTACATTCCCATCAACGCTGTACAAAGCTTCCCAGTCTCCACATCCTCGCCAGCATCGGTTCTCTTGTCTGCTTGATGATGGCCATTCTAACAGGTGTGAGGTGATACCTCAATGTAGTTTTGATTTGTATTTCCCTGATAATTAGTGATGTTGGGCACCTTTTCCTATATCTGTTGGCCATTTGTATGTCTTATCTGGAAAAACATCTATCCAGGTCCTTTGCTCATTTTTCAATTGGGTTATTTTTTAATTTTTAATTTTTATTTTTTTGCTATTTAGTTGTGTGTGTTCCTTGTATATTTTGGATATTAACCCCTTATTGGATTTTTGGTTTGTAAATATTTTTCCCCATTCCATAGGATGCCTTTTTATTATGCTGATGGTTTCTTTTGCTGAGCAGGAGCTTTTTAGTTTGCTGTAGTCCCACTTGTTCTAACTTGTTGCCAAATCCAAGAAATCATCACCAAGTCTAATGTCACGGAGTTTCTTTCCTATGTTTTCTTGTAGAATTTTTATGGTTTCAGAGCATAGAGGATATATTTAAGTAATTAATACATTTGAATTGATTTTTTGTGTGGTCTACATAGGGGTCTAATTCATTCTTTGGCACGTGGATATGCAGTTTTCCCAGCACCATTTATTGAAGAGATTATCCTTTCCCCATTTTTCATTCTTGGCTTCTTTGATATAAATTAATTAACCATGTACAGGCATGAGTTTATTTCTGGGCTGTCTACTCCACTGATCCATGTGTCTGTTTTCATGACAGTGTGCTGTTTGGATTACTCTCACTTTGTAATACAGTGTGAAATCAGGGAGTGTGATGCCTCCCATTTTGCTTTTCTAACTCAAAATTGCTTTGGTTATTTGGAATCTTTTGTGGTTCACTACATATACAAGGGTTATTTTTTCTTATTTCTATTAAAAATGCCATTGGCATTGAATTTTGATTGGGATTACATTGAATTTGTAGACTTCTTTGGGTAATATGGACATTTTAACAATATTCTTCTAATATGTGAACATGGAATATCCTTCCATTTATTTGTGTCTTCTCCAACTTCTTTCATCAATGTTTTATAGTATTTAGTGTGTAGACCTTTTACTTTCTAGGTTAAATTTCTTCCCAGGTATTTTATTGTTTTTGATGCTATTGTAAATGAAATTGTTGCTAATTTCTCTTTCTGGCTTTTCACCATTGATTATGATATTTGCTGTGGTCTTGTCATATGTGGCCTTATTATATTGAGATAATTTCTTTTATTCCTAGTTTGTTGAGTGTGTTTTTAATCTTTATTATGAAAAGGTGTTTAATTTTGTCAAATGCTTTTTCTACATTAAGATGATCATATGATTTTTATTCTTAATTTTGTTAATACCACTTTTATTGAATTGTGTATGTTAAATCATCTTTGAATGTCAAATAAATGCCATTTAATCATGGTGTATGATCCGTTTAATGTCCTGCTGAATTTGGTTTGCTAGTATTTTGTTGAGAATTTTTGGATAAATGTTTATTGGGGGTATTGGCCTCTGGAATGTCCTTATCAGGCTTTGGCATCAAGGTAATTCTGGCCTTGTAAAGTGAGTTCGAAAGTGTTCACCCCCCTTCTGTCTTTTGAAAGAGTTTGAGTAGATTCATATTAATTCTTCTTTAAATGCTTGGTATAATTCACCCGTGAAGCCATCCGTGGCCCTGGACTTTTCGTTTTTGGAAGGTATTTGATAACTGATTAAAAATCTTCTTGTTAGTAATTTGTCTGTTCAGATTGAGTCTGTGCTGGACCATGTGTGTAGCCTGGGATGGTGCTTTAGTACCCATTTAAAAATTGCTTCTTTATAGTCCTGCTGAACTTGGAATGTGGCCCCTTTTGGCTATCAGAGCTAGGTGATTTGGGGTCCCATACCTCGAGTGGCAGTCATAAATGCTAAGGCTTTGGATGTATGGATGTGATCTTTCCAGGGAGATACTGGCAACCTGTTCTTATTTATAGAGGGAGCTAGAGAAGAACACAGGGAAAGTGTCCATTAACTCTTTTGGGCTCTGGAGAGGATCAGAGTCAGCACCTAGGTGGAATGCTAATTAGAAGCTGGACCCTTAGGTTACAGCTTGTAAAGCACGCATCAGACCCCTGCCAGAGAAAGACTTGGAGGCGGGTGTTTGTGTCTGTTCTGTCTGCACTGAACCGTGGCTGGATAGCCCTGGCTGGATAGCCGTGGTGCGTGCTCATGTCCCCATTCACAACTGCCTCTCTGATCTATAGTTGTACCTTAGAGATAGTGCAGTTCAGTTCCGGATCACAGCACTAAAGCAAGCATCACAGTAAAACAAGTGATACAATTTTTTTGATTTCCCAGTACATATAAAAGTTATGTTTACAGTATACTGTAGTCTATTAAGTATGCAATAGCACTGCCTAAAAAAGAAGTGTAAACTTACTTTATTGCTAAAATATCCTAAGCATCTGACAGTGCAAGGTTGCCACAGACCTTCCATTTGTGAAAACTGCTGTATCTGCAAAACACAGTAAACCCGGATATGCCTGTAGTCCTGTGGGACTATGAACGCAAGCCTCAGTGGCTTTCAGATTCAGGTTGTTTCGAGGGCTCATCCTTTGGCAGGGAGCCTTAAAAGTTGGAGCACACCCTAGATGTGTGGTCCAAACCATTGACTTCTCAGGTAGAGCTGTGAGTTGGAGGTTCCCTTCGGATTCTGTGGTGCTGTGCTGGGGGGAGGGTTTATGGTGAGAGCATCTCAGCCTTTCCTACCCATTTTCATGTGGACATTTTCTTATTTTCCCTCTGTGTTAGAGTTACTCAGCTAGTTTTTGGATTTCTTTCAGAGGAAATTGCTCCATGTATAGCTTTACACTTAGTGTGTCTGTGGGAGGAGGAAAATTCAGGAGCCTCCTACAAGGTCACCTTGGTCCAGAGTCCCACAGTTTTGATAGTGTCTTGAGTCTCATAATGGAGAGGACTCTACTGATATTTCTGTAGATAATTTTCCCTGAGTCTAAAGGAAGAAATCAATACAACTAAAATGAAATAAAAGCTTACCACCTTTTAAAACCCCAACACTATAAGAATTTATTCTTAGCTTAATGGTACTCTAAATTCTCTTTTTAGTGTACTTTTTGACACATAGGAGAGAAATACATGATGTTTTTTTCCTCATGGTTAGGAGCTCCATACACTGCTACGGTTATTTCACACTATATTATAGGTATTAACTATGGAGATCTGGGAGTTTTAACTATTTTTTAAAACCGTGTAATCTGCAAAATCTTTCAGAGATAACTATACTGCTTTGTGGTCATTACTTTCTGTCCAACTAGGCATTAATTTCCTTAAATTCCCTTTACCAAACACAAAAAGAAAATGAGAGATAGGAGAATAATTTAAATGTTCCTGTGGTGCTTGCAGAATGACAATGCTGTGCATCCTTATTTCACTGCAGACAACAATTCCATACACCAAGAGGATAATTTTTTTTCTCGGTAGACTCCAGCAGATAAATTTTTATTGATGTAAATAATTCAGCAGCTTGTTACAGTGAAACCACTTCACATTAAGCATATCCTAGCTCTGTCTTAAATGCACACAGAGATATTCCACTGGATACTACTAATATCTCATGCAAACTGGAGGTTTCCCAGTTTATGATGAGTTGTAGCTCTTTAAGGAACTGAGCCCATTGCTAAGGGATTTGGTTAAACATTTGCCAGAAAAAGAAAAGCTAAGCAGAGTGCAGAGTAAAGAAACAAAGAAAATAATTGAGCTTTGCTGGTCATTATGTTGATCTGAGAGATTTCATAGTCACAGCACATCTGGAGGTTAGTTTTCAAGTTGGTTCTTCAGAGACTGTGGAGGAGATTAAAATTTATACAGGGCAAATACAGTTCTCAATAAAATTTAAGGAGTGGTAACAAGTTTCCATATTTGGTGGCACTCTTTTTAATCACCTGTAGAATAGAAAATAAGACTGTACAAAGTCTAAACATCTTTCTTCTTGAGATAGAAAGGATAGTTCATTTAAAATTTGGAAAAAAAGTTTTTCTGGTACTCTATAGAGTTCTTGCTTTAGCAGCTTAATTCTGTAAATCTTTTCTGATACCTCTTTCTTTGAGGAGGAAGTCCACTTGCCTATTGGCAAGTTGTCCTTGGCTTGGGGTGCTCTCAGCCTTTGTGGCTGCATTCAGGTACTGTTTGCAGAGGATCCACTGTCAAGCTTTTCCCCACAGGCCTGCCTCCTCCCTATTCTCACCAGCTTCAACTGATACCAGGCTTCATACTGATTCTGGGTATGCAATGAGTTGGGTCTTGCTTAATATTTTTGTACTTGTCTGGTATCAAAGGGACGCATTCCCAAGGGGGATATTTCAGCAAATTCAAATGTAGCTTATAAATATTTTATTCAACTTGAGATTTAATGTGCTATCTGGCTTGCAGCTCTTGATGCCAGCCAGCCTCCTGAGCTTCCTGTTAGAATACCTAAAAGAAGAGATCAACTTTCCCAGCCCCGAGGCTGACAGTTTACCTAAGGCTAAAATCTGGGACAAATACAGAAGACATAGAATGCCGGTGAAACCAGATTGAGACAAGCATGTGCAGACCACCTGAGAAAAGATAAGACCTCAGAATCCTCCTATAAGTAAATTCCTATACCCTGGTTCAGTGTCTTTATCAACCAGAACGTTGGCCGATGGTGCCTACACCCTTCAGGAACTAATTTCTGCAGCAGTCTGATCAGCATGGCCCTCCCTACCCAGCAGTTATTTTTAATCGCATTAGCAGTAGACAAAATATACTTTCGTTTATGAAGTCACAGTAGACTTTAAGGGGAAAAGGTTGACTTGTACGCTGTTCAGTGGCACTTTCTTACCTGAGATAATCCCTGTTGCTAATTTGTTAGGTGATAGCAGATCACTTTAAGGTGCATTTACATATATGTGGATATATGTACTTACAGAAAACATGAAGGGATCTTTTTGTTATTTGTAAGCACACATATACATAATCATTCTTTGCTGTCATAAATAGAACCATACAGTATGTATTACTTAGTGTCTTTCTCTTTGTAGTTGTTTTTATTAATAACACATACACATATTTGCGTGTCTTGGGGAATCATTTTGCCAATAGAAAAGAACTTCTACATATTAGTTCACAGTGCTGATGCCTCATGGTTTCCCTAACCAGTTCCTTGTTTACATAAAGAATTTAAGGTGCTCCTATTTTTTTTATTATAAAATTAAAGTGCCTAGGCCAAGCATTTGTTCACATGGATGAATGTTTCTTTAGGAAAAATATCTGTAAGCTGCTTTATCAATCTGTCTCCTCACCAAACATGGCTGAGAGTATCCATTTATTGATACACTTGCCAAAATAAAATCTTACAGTTTCTCAACTTTTGCCAATCTAAAATTGTGTTCATTTTGGGGATCAATTTCTAATGAAGTTAAGCATTTTGCCATTCGTATTTCCTTTTTGTGACCTCCTGTTGTATTCTCTGCCCTTTCATTTATTGAGTTGTTTGCCTTTTTCTGTTTTATAGGATGATTTTTACATTCTGCTAGTTACTTCTTATGCCAATCAGAAACAGTATTTCTCAGAAAACAACTTAAGAGGAAATGGGAATAGGGGTGAGAATTAACAGAGGCACATTATACTCTGAATAGAGTATAATGGGGGGGTTCAGAAGAATCACAGTACTAATTGGAGCCAGGAATTGAAATGTTTTATGAATTTAGTCTATTCAGTGTATGAGAAACTCTAACAGCAGTGAAGGGGAATGTACGCCAGGTAAAACATATTCATACATGAGAATGAAATGTGGAGTTTTATGTGTACATTTTCCCTAATCTAAGTGGGAAAGTCAGCTTTAACAAGTTGATGAAAGTAAAGCAAAGAGCAACCTCTCTTATTTATAAATTGATAAAATAGAAAAAGATATGTGAGCAGAGAGACAAACACAACATGCCAACAGGAATACTAAGAAGACTTGAAGTTTTCATACCTAAAATTGGATTTAATGCAATTAATGTATTAGGGGCCACTGTTGGCTGTATCATAATAGAATTAATGTCATCTGTGTGAGGGAAAGCAGCATCTTTAAGTCATTTTTCATTTTTAAATGACAGTGTAGAGAACTGTGATAGATGATCATGTCTTAGGAGAACCGCACAAATGACTGTGGTGGTGGTGAGAGGACAGAAAATCTACACCTTAAATAAATACTCTCAGGAGTACCAATTTCCCTTGAGTCAGTGTTAAAACAGAGACTCTCAAACATTAGTATGTATCAGCGTGAACTTAGAGTTTATAAAGAACACAGAGACGCAGGCTCATCGAAATAGGATGGAGGCTGGACTTTGCATTTTCACCAAATTCCCCAGGTGATTCCAACACTCAACAAGGTTTAAGAACCACTGAAATAAGTGAATACAGTTCTTAAAAATCATTTGAAAATGAAAATGAATATATATATATTCTATATATCTATCTATATATCTATATAGATAGATATATATCTATATATATATAGAGGCATGACTAGGATATTATGCTGTACACCAGAAATTGACACACTGTAACTGACTATACTTGAATTGAAAAAAAAAAAGTTAAAAGAAAGTGGCCTGGATTCCAGCTATCTAAAGTTCCCACCCATATTATTTAACCCATGAATTTTACAGAGAGATGAATATTTTGAAGTCCAGAGAAGCCTTACTACGTACATTTGGGGAGCTTTGGGTTTCTGTAAAAATAGCAGAAGTTGGTGTGAGCCATATCCTTGTCTGTAGTTAATCACGTGCTCAGGAAAATAACTTTTTGCTGGGTGTTCATCTTCTAGCTTTCATGAAAGACACTATTCCCAGTATGCATTATGTGGATGTTGTAATAAACTGACATCGTGATGCTAAAACAAACATCAGTTAAAATAGTGAATGTTGTTGATTACAGACTCTTAAATACTTTTTTATAAGAGTCATGAGAGAAATTGCTAAAAATGCAAATTTCAAGATTCCATGGGCAAAATTCCCATTTGGTAATCTAGATGGGCCTTTCCAGAAATTTCATTAAAAAAAATTATCTACAGATGATTTTCTACGGAAGTTCCTATAAATAAGGGGCTTCATAAACCAGAGTTTCAGAAATATTATAATAGCAATTCATTAATAAAAATGAGCACTCCAAAATGATAACAATAAAAAAGAAATGTCAGTGACTTGCTCTAAAAGTACTTTTGAAAATTGAATTAGTAATTCCAATTATCAATTTAAGGAAGTTTTTTTCTTGTTTCATTTTTTAACATATGTGATAAGATACCAGCAAGAAAAGAAAATATTAAGACTCAGCTTTAGAAAACTTAGTATTTTTTTTTTGAAAGAAAATCTGGATCTGTACTTCCCAGTGTGGTAGTCAGTAACCACGTGTGACTATTTCAGTTTAAATTCGTTAACACTGAACAAAATTAAAATTTCAGGGACTAGTAGCACTAGTCACATTTCCTTTCCTCCTTTCTTTCTTCCTTCCACTTTGCTTCCTTTCTTTCTTTCTTTCTATTTAATTATTTTATTTTGGTGGAGGGAGTAATTAAGTTTATTTATTTTTAGAGGAGGTCCTGGGGATTGAACCAAGGACCTTACATGCACTCTACCACTTGAGCTACACCCTCTCTCACCCACTGGTCACATTTTCACTACCACCTGTGATTAGGAGCAACTTTATAGGAGCATTTCCACTATCACACAAACATCTGTAGAACAGTACTGCAGAAAGAGAAAAGAGGAATTAAATATGAACAAATAATTTTTTAAAATTCTGAATGGAAGAAAGTTTGAGAGTTTGAAGCCAAAGAAGTCTTACTGCTAAGCCTGATTATTTTACCAAGATCTACTCTAAATACAAGCAGGGTATTTTTTTTTTAAATTAGCATTGTTTCTTTTGAAAACTGAATGAATATTAAGAACATAAAAGGACTTTTATTTACCATTAATAAATATAAGAGATTAATTTTGTGACTGTGCATTATTCATCTTATAATTATGAAGTAATGAAACTGAAGGCAACAAGCCACAGTGGAATTTGTCCTATTACATTATTTTATAGTTTTATGTCTATCCTACATCTGTTTTTCCCATCACAGCAGACTCCAATCAATTTTTAAGAAAACCTTTATTAAATATATGCCATAAAGAAAAGTACACAGATCATAGTGTATAAAAATCTATGAATTTTCACAAAAAGGACACATTCATGCATCGGCATCTGAATCAAGAAACAGAAGAGTGTCAGCAACCTAGAAATCACCCACCCAGTTTTTCAGTCGCTACCACAGGAAAAAGGGTCACCAGTGATACCACTTTTAACACCATTAGTTTTGGCTGTTTTATAATTTAATGTAAACATAGTGATAATTTTCTTTTGTTTAATATGCCTTTGAGATTCCTCCGTGGCATTGCTTGTAGCAGTACTTTACATAATCTCATTGCTTTATTCTGTTCTATTCTATGAATCTATCACAGTCTATCCATTCTGCTATTGATAGACATGAATGTTTGGATAATTTTTCATTTTAAACTATTATGGATGGTCCTGATATGAATATTCTGGTTCATGTCTTATAGCTAGGAGTGGACTCGGTCATGGGCTACGTATAAGTTTAATTTTAGGTTGATACTGTCAGTTTCCCTCCTACTAGCAGATAGTTCAAATTGTTCCACATTCTTCCAAGCATGTGCTACTGTCCTTGCTGTTCTTGATCAGTCTTGTTAGGGAATAAAAACTGTATTTTTTTGTCAAAGAACCAACTCGTCTCATTGTTAATTTTCTCTAATTTTTGTCTTTTATTTTAATTTCTAGCTTTATTTTATCCCCTCTACTTAATCTTACTTTTAAATTGTTCTCTTTTTGAATAAAAACATTTTGAATTATACATTTATCTTTAAATCCTTCTTTTCTAGAGCCCATACATAACTTTTGACATGTCTGTTTTTCCTTTCAATTGTTATATTTTTAATTATCTAAAGGAATTCTTTTATCCAAAGATTGTTTAAAAAAATTTTTTTATTGAAGTAAAGTCAATTACAATGTGTCAGTTTCTGGTGTACAGCCCAATGTCCCAGTCATGCATATACATAGATTTGTTTAGAAGACTATTCTTTTTTTTTAACATTTTTTATTGATTTATAATCATTTTACAATGTTGTGTCAAATTCCAGTGTTCAGCACAATTTTTCAGTCATTCATGGACATATACACACTCATTGTCACATTTTTTTCTATTAAATATTTTTGGATTGATATCTTTATTATTGATTTTTCAGTTAACTCTTGTGATCAGGGAACATTATCTGTATAATATCAATGTTTTGAATATATTGAGGTATGTTTCATGGCCCAACATTTGTCCAGTTTTCATGAAAATTTCATGTGCACTTGAAAATGTGTTTTGCAGATGTTGGTTTTGGTGTACCAAATTTAGTGTATTAAAATGTCAGTTAGGTGTAGTTGGTTGATAGTGCTGTTCAAATTTTATACATCCTTATTTATTGCATATTCCTCCCATCAATTACTGAGAAAGCACTACCAATGCCTTCAACTCTGTGAATTTTTATTCCTTCTTTTTTTTCTGTCAGTTTTTGCCTCATATATTTGAAGTTCCTTTTCTTAGGTGCATACATATTGAGATTTCTGTATGTTTATGATAAATTGGCTTTTTAGTCATTAGAAAATGTCCCTCATTATCTTTGATAATACTCTTTGAATGACTTAAAATCTATTTTTTTTTCCTGGTACTAAAGGGTAACCATGTGAGCTTTCTTTTTCTTTTATTTTTCTTGGTTGATCTTTTTCTTTTTACTTTGAAAATATATACCTTGTATTTTAAGTGCTTCCCTTTTGAACAGTGTATAGTTGGGCATTGTTTTGTTTTGTTCTTTAAAATTCCAATCTGATATTCTTTGAATTTAAATGGAAATGTTCAGTCCATTATATTAATATGATTACTTAGGACTGAGAAATAAGACTGCCATGCTGTTACTGTTTTCTACTTTTCCTAAGTATATTTTATTCTCTGTTCTTAATTTTCTGAATTGTTTTATATTAACATGATTTAGTATTCTGTTTTATTTCGTCTGTTGGCTTTTCAGCCAACTGATACCTATTTGAATTATTTTTTTTTTAGTGGTAGCACTAGAAATTACCATATAAATTCTTTTACATTCTACTTAGAGTTAATTTTGAACAACTACACATAAAATGAAGGAATTTATAAATGTATACTTCTCTTTGAACCCCATTCTTTTTGGATGTTGTCAAATATTTTTATTTAAATAAAAATACTTTATTTAAACATTTTATTTGAATCCGGCAATAAGATACCTTTGCATTAAACAGTCAACGTCTGTTGAAGAAATTGAGAAGGGGGACAATACAAGCAAAGATAACCTTCCAGAGTTACCTAGTATTTAGTATGTTTGGTATTCTTCCTGTACATCCGATTTTCCATCTGGCATCATTTCCACTCAGTCCGATGAACTTTCATTTACATGTGTCATAGTGTATATCTGCCAACAATGGATTATATCAACCTTGCATATTTTAAACGGGTCTGTATTTTGCCCTCATTTTTGGAGGATTCTTTTCCTGGCTGTAGAACTCCAGGCAGAAGGGCGTTGCTTTCATTTCAGCACTCTAAACTTCACCTGCTTGCCTGAGGGCTGACATTGTTTCTCAAGAGAGGTTAGTCATTATATGCAGATGTGTTTCCCTACATAGTATAGGATGGTTTTCTCTTGACTGTTTTACAATTTTCCCTGTATCTTTTTTCCTAATGGTTGAATGGCATATATCTATGATTGTTTATTCTTGGAGTTTCCTTCTTGGATCTATTTAAATTGTTTCTCTCAACTTAAGGGAACTTTTCAGCAAATGTTGTTTTATCAGATTTTTTTTTTAATTCTCTCTTTTGTCCTTCTGAAACAGAGTAGCGTGTTAAAACTTTTCACTCTACTGATCATGTCTTTTATGCATTTTCTGAATGTTCTAATTTTCTCTAGTTTAAATATATGTTTTAGTCTGTCTTCTAGTTGTGTAATCCACTTATAAACATATCTAGACATTTCCTAACTTTATACATTGTGTATAGAATATTATCTCATCAAAAAGTTTCCTTATGGCCTTTCCCATACATTTATGTTCAAGTGGGTTAAGGTATGTTATTTTGTTTATTTTTTAGATGCAGGTCCCTTGTGACATTTTCCAGCTTTTCCTTTATATTGTCCATTTACCTCTATTTTTAAAATAATTCTATTGATGTGCTTTGCTGATTCCTACATCTGGATCACCTGTGGCTTGTTTTTAATGTTTCTTTCTTTTACTATGTATGGGTCTGTCTCTTAAGATACGTATTAATTTTCTATTGATGCCAGGTATATGTTGTACATAATAAAAAGTTGTAGAGGCTTTAGATGATTTTTTAAATTTTACTAGAGAGTATCTGTCTGTTACTCTGCTAAGCAGATAGACAGGGACTGATTACTTTACTCACTAAAGAGGTAGAATTGATTTGATACTGGCTTGCAGCTTTTGCAAGACACAGTTCATCTCTGATTTGACCTTATTCCAAGGACAGAGTCCCACAGGCGTTTCAGCTGAAATCCTGGTGTGTTCACTGGGGCTCTTTTCCCCTGGCATGGCCTAAACTGAAATCCTTATTTTTATAGCACTACAAAATTGCCAAAATCTCAGTTGTTTTTTTCAATTGAGTATGTCAGCTTTGTTATCAGCCTTCCTACTTTTTATGGCTTCAGAACTCCCTAAAGTTTCTAAGAAGAAAATTGTCCGTGACTTTGAGACCCTTATATCTCCAATTTTATCTTTATCCCATTAGAATCCCAGTATAATCCAGTCTATGTCCTCGACAAGCTACCTGTTTGGCCAAAGCCTGGTTTTGCAGCTTCTTTTGCTTAGAATTTACACATACCCCCAGAAAATAATTATAGAACATCAGCTTATCTTTCACATTTCCTCACCATCAAGAATCTTGTTCTCTATAGTCCTCATTATGTTTCTACCTTTAAGCAAAAAGTACTTTGTATTGTACCCTGGGGAATGTTGGTCTGCTACAAAGTAATCCATCCTGTGTTCTGCAGTTGAAATTTTAATATACAAATATAAAAACTATTGTAACTGTTCTAAGTTATTACAGTATTATAAGTAATTAGACAATTACATAGAGGAATATGGCAGACTGGCAACAGAGTTCTGATCCATTGGCATAAATTCTTGCACACTAGCTTCCTGAGAGGTAGGAATTATGAGTACAGAATTATATATACATTTAATTTTTCTTTGATATATGAAAAAATATTTTAATATGTGAAAATCCAAAAAATATGGTTGATAGTGGACTATCTCTAAGGAGAATGAAATTGAGGAGACACTCAATGAAAAAGAAAGAATGCAACACTATAACAACACTGTGCTGACAATATTAATGAGCAATAAGCTATCATAACATAAAATGTATGCAGTGTTTTAATAATATACATGTAAAGGTAAAAGATGTTTAAGAGATTATTTTTAAAATCAAAGACATTATAAAAAATTTCATAATATCAGAACAAATTTTTATAATGCAAAGGATACAGAAGTCAAGAAAAAGATTGTAAGTTAGGTAAAATTGTGCCTGAAATATTCTTTGCTGAAAGGAAAAAGAAAGGCAAAATGTGTTGACTATTCTCAGTGATGGGAAATAAAAACAATTATTTCAGTTAAAATTAAAAATAAGACAGATACGCTGTCACCACCACCTCCTCTTCCTATTATTGTTGTGGTGGTTGTTGTTAGTATTAAGATTTCTTCTGGAGACTTTTTTTTAATCACAGTAG